AATAACAACAAGTAAGCAGTGCACTGCAGCACAGTAGCACCAACAGCATCTCAGGCAGCAAAACTATCACAGACTAGACCATTTTTTCCTTTCCTGCAGGAGCTTCTTCTCCAGCAGCTGCCAGAGAACTCTCCCTGCCAGCCCCAGCCCTGGGGCTTAGATGTGCCCAGGGCCCTGTGTCTTTCCAGTCAGCTGACCAGGGACAGGTGCTAGGGGTGTTGATCTAAGGACATGGCACTGGCAGACTAGATTTTTTGGGTCAATCTGGTATCTTTTTGTAGACCAACTGAATAGTTACAGAAATAGATCTTGGCAAGCTTTCGGGTTGAAAAATCCTTTGTCAGGCTGAGGAAGCACCTGCAGTTGGTGTGTGTGTGTGTGCTCTTCCTGGATGGAAGGAATAGTAGAGAAGCCAGAGGCTGGCATACAATGCAGGCAAGAAAGCCAGTCAGTGAAAGTGGAAATGGAGGTGTCAGGGGGTGAGAAAGACAGGCAGGGGTTGGCGGGGGGAAGGAGGATGTAGCAGGTAGAAGTGCAGAGGTACCTGGGGAGTTAGAGGTCTGGCAGATTGTAGTGTGTCATAAATCCAATGTCTATATTGAGTACATGAGTTGCTGTACCTAGGAGGCTGATGAAGTGAAGTTCATAGGCCCGGCTGTGAAAAGTGGTTTGTAAATTCAAACAAGCATCAAACCTTGCTAACCTCATCACCAGAAGCCAACTTCCTACAGCTCAAAACACAAAACTTGCCAACATATCTCTAGTACCCCGAACAAGCTGCACACCAGAATCTATTAAAGACAAGAATACCCAATTACCTGTGAGGGAACATTTCTCACAAAAACCCCCACTCTTTCTCCAGTCTCCCAGGCCTGATCCTGAAAGGGAATTTACAGCTGGGCCTATGAACTTCACTTCATCAACCTCCTAGGTACAGAAAATCATAAACTCAATATACACATTGGATTTATGACACACTACAACCTGCTGGACATCTGACTCCCCAGGTTCCTCTCCACTTTTACTTACTACATCCCCCTAACCTCCTACCCCAGCCTATCTGTCTCACCCACTGATGCCTCCATTTACATTTTCACTGACTGGCTTTCTTGCCTGCATTGCATGCCAGCCTCTGGCTTCTTTACTATTCGTTCCATCCAGGAACAGCACATGCACCAACTTTAGGTGCTTCCACAGACTGACAAAGGGTTTTTCAACCCAAAAGCTGGCATCCCAGGTAGCTAAGCTGAGCTCACCTGGAGCCTCACAACTCCACTGCAACCAGCTAGCCTCAGGCCTGTCAAAGACATGACAGGTCTAGGCTTTCCCCAGCCAGGACTATGTATATGCATGTGATAGCTGGAGATTATGGTACCTCCTACCCACCTTCCACCAGGGGAATCCTCGGTCCTGGTATTTTCTGGGGCTGCCATGCTGCCAGCAGTCCTACAGGGCCTCCCTGATCCTGGCAGAGTGCAGTTTTTGTGGTCATGCCTAGGACCTGGGATTTCCTCCATTCCCATAGCCCCAGCCCATGCCTCCAACTTCATCCTGGCACAGAAACTCAGCAGTGACATGTTCTTCCCATGCTGGCTGGTGATGTAGTCAGTGCCTGCTCCAGCTCTGACAGCGGGGCATTAACTGGTTTTAAAAAATTAAACAGAAATAGGTGTGGATGGAGTGAGGAGGATGGCACTCACTCTGTCTGCAGGTGGAGTTTGGGGAACCCCAGCAGTGGGAGGTTCACCTTGAGGAACACCAGCTGCTCCACCAAACCAGGATCCAAGGAGGTGTGGTGTCACAACATCCCCGGCAATGCTGAACACCCTCTCACTCGGAACACTGATTGGTGGACAGGATAGGTGTTCCTGGGCAACCATGGCCAGATCCTGTCACATCTGGATGTGGGTTCCTCAATAGACCAAGAGGTTTCAGTCCAGCAGCTCCACATCCTTGGTGAGATAGGTAGCCACCAAAGCCTTGGAGCTACTTGCCCAAGGCTGGGGTCTGGTGCGTCTGGACCCCAACATTGAAGCCATGCCCTTGGCCCATATTGGCAGTGGCTGGTGTGGAGGAGACTGGGTGGTACTGGTGCTGGGAGTGCTGGCATGGGAAAGTGGATCCTCCTCTTCCACATCCCCTTGCCTCTGCCCTTCTGCCTCCCTGACTCTGTTGACCAGCACTTCCATCCAGTGATTGAGGGTTTTGGTGCTTCCAGTGCATGTGCTCCCCTTCACTCTCCGGTCACACATGCCCACCAAAATGTGAACCGTATCGGACTGTAAGGGATCTAGACATTTCCTGATGACCTCTTTCAACCTGCGTATCTGGTGACAGTGGCTTGCCCCAGCCAGGAACATTGATCCCCTGGAACTTCTCCATTTGTTTCTCAAGTTCCCTAATTATGGGGATCACCTGGCTAAGGGGGGTATCGCCAGCACTGAGGGTCTTGGTGGCCTTGAGGAAGGGCTTGAGGACCACTAAGTTCTGGAAGATGTTATCCCACTCAGCTCTGTAAAGGGGGCCGCTGATCCCAATGTCTCTGAGCAAGGCCATCTCATGGATGGCCTTCTGTTGCTCAACCAGCCTTTTCAGCATCAGGTGTGTGGAGTTCCATGGAGTCTCCATATCCTGCATGATTTTCTGCTGTGGGATGCTCAGCACTGCCTGATTCTCCCACAGTGTCTTGCCCCCCTTGATGTTGCAGTGGAAGTAGCCCACCACCTTCCTGCATTTTGAAATCAGCTGGGTGGTAGTAACAGCTCCATCACTGGCAGCCCTGTCCCCCTCCAAGACATCCCTGACAATGAGGTACAGCCTGTGTGCCACACAGAGGATGCAAAGGAAGTTGGCATCACAGATAGCCTTGACCATATTGGCCTCATTGTCAGTGACCGTGAACCTACGGGTGAGCTTGCCCTGCCCAACGAGCCACCCCTGCACCATGCACCACCATGGCCACCATGATCTTCCTTGCCATGTGGGACTCATCCATCACCTTGGCTTGAAGGAGAGGCCACCAGTCACCTGACTGATCACACCAGTGCCCTGTGAGGGAGAGGCAGGCATGATCTCCACCCCAGCTGCTCCAGATATCCGAGGGGAAGTGCAAGGCTAGCTGTGGCCCTGCCTTGTGCAGCTCCTCCCTCAAGTACTCCCTGCATGCCTCATACAGGAAGGGCACCACCGTCCTGCTAAAAGTGGTGCGTGTGGGCATTTGGTAGGATGGGGCCATGAGCCCCATGAGCCACCTGGACCCTGGCCACTCATCTAAGGAGAAGGGCTGACCATCCAGAGCAAGCATCTCCTCAGTGCTCTGGGTGACCTTGCTCACCCTTGCAATACCCCCCCCCCTTTGCCTGCACCTTTCCCCCACCATTCCAGGGTAGCCTGCCTCTGCTTTGGGGGGACAGGGGCTTTGGAGTGAGTGGGGGAATTCCCTTTTGGCATGCTCTCACTGGTGCCAGGGTGAGGAGGAAAAAGGGCAAGGGGGTGCTGCCTCCTCAGATGCAGCAGCATCACTGTGGTGAAGTGTTTCGCCTCCTTGCCCCGGCTGATCCACCTTTGGCAGTGCTGGCATATAGCATATATACATATGGCATATATACTTGGGATCATCTGCCACCTCAAAATGATCACACACTACACTACTCCCCTGCTTCTGGGTTGAGGGTGGAAATCCTGTCTTATCCCCCTTCTCAGCAGGCAGAGGCACAACGACAGGAGGAGCTGATTCAGCTGAGCCACTTGCCTCCACAACATCCTCTGAGATGCCTTCCTGACAAGGAAACCTGGGTCTAGGGGAACTTTGAGGGGTGTGGAGTAAAAACTCAGATTCCCCCTTGGTCCCCAGAATTTCTTTAGCTAGGGCACTCAGGTCCCCTGGTTCCAGATCCAGCTCCTCCTCTAGCAGTGGGAGGTTCACTCTGGGAGATGAAATTGGGGTGGAGGAGATGGTCATTCTGCTGTTGGTGTCTATTTCTGGAATTCAGGGAGGTGGTGCAGGTGCAGGGACAGCTACTTTTCCCACCTCCTTGCTTCCACTGGCAGCAGAAGACTTATGGCTGCCAGGAAAGAGGATAGGCCTATGTGTGGCAGGGGGTGGAGGGAATTTACAGCTCTATCTCTCTCCCTACCACTCTAGATCCACTCCATCCTGTGCCAGAAGACCTGGCACCTGCCTTTCCAGCACGCTTCATACTAATGTTTCCTGTGGTGGAAAATGTGTTTCTGTGTGTAACTGACTAATAATATATGTCATCTTCTTCTTCTCTGATTTATGACTGTGTCCAACTTCTTCTGTGTTGTATTTCCTCTTGTGCGTGTAACTAAAATAATATCTCTTCTTCATCTTCTTCTATGACTGTCTGACTTCTGTATTGTGTTAATCTGAATCTCTATCTGACTTCTTCTGTGTTGTCTTTAGTCTGATTGTAACTATAACTAATAACAATAACTATAATAATATAATAATTATGTATAATCTCTTCTTTTTCTTCTATGACTGTCTGACTTCTTCTGTGTTGTAATAATATCTGACTTCTTCTTTTATGATGTATGTGTGTGAGTGTGTGTAATGTATGTGCTTCCCTGCACAGTGAAGGATCATACTGTCAGGGAAAATGCAGCTTTCTTTTTAAAAAGTGTTGGGGAAAAAAACAACCAAGAACAAGTATAAACTGAAAGAAATGGATTGGACAGGGATAAGTAGAGGGATTCTAATTCCAAGCTATATTCAATCCTTTCCAAGAACAGAAAGTAGCAGGAAACTGACTAGATCAGAAGCCAAGCCAGGCCAGTACCTTTCAGACACTGTTGCTCAGGCAGAAACAGCTGACAAGAGGCACAGAAAGCCTGCAGACACAGGCTTATATGCTGTTTCTGTCTCCCCTACCCTGTGGTAGGGGTAATGCCCTGAGAGAAAACTTACCCAGAAAAAGAGAGCTCCCAAGCTGGCGGGACACTGATGAGAACCAGAAGCCTGGTGAGAGTGAAACTGTGGTGGGGAAAAATGCTGTGGCAACAAAAGAGAAAAAAAAGAATGATGGGTTCAGGAAGAGATGGGATCAGCTCTAGTCCAGCATCGACCCACTTTATGGCAGTGTGCCAGCGCTGATTCACCAGTTGACCTCTTAAGGGATAAAACTCTGCTGGGATCAGAGCCGGGGACTGGAAGTGAGGCTTCCGGTGGGGCTAGAAGAGCCCCAAGGAGGAGAGAGCTCCAGAGAGAAGCAGTGGTGGCTGCTCCAGGAGGGGGTATCTGGTGAGGAGACAAACCCACAGGGGCTAAGTTCTTACCTGAAGCCCATGTCATGGATCCTGGACATCTCCAGACTTGACTGGACTGCCAGGGATCCCTCAAAGGAAAAAGAGAGCCAGGAGTCACAATAGAGACACAGCCAGGAAGTATAGACACCCCCAGAAACTGGATAACCTGGGGACAGCAAGGACCATAAGTTAATTTTCACTACAGCATGGAACCCAGGCCAAGTAAGGTCCACATCCTATTTATGCTGAAGTTAAAAGGCCAAGACAAAAATTACCACCCTGGCTCGCTCTAGCGGTGGGCAGAAGATAACAGCTTAAGGTTGGAGTAAGGCAGGGTGTAGGGGAGGTGGAGCCTGAATTGGGAAACCAGACAAGCAAAGTTAAGCGGGTACCAGGGAAGGTGAGACATAACATCTTACTCCCGATAACAAACTTATTTTCCATCAAAGACATGGCAGACGAGAACCCTCCGAAGGCCTTCCAAGATAAATACTTTAACATCAAGCTATCCAGTTCCCAATGAGACAGTGAGGCCTGAGAGGTCCATAAGAGCCAGATGTACTAGTGAATGCCATGGAAACTTACAGTCCCCCAGACACTGTGATTGGAAGGGGACTCGGGAAAAGATCACAGTCACTGGCCAGCTAGAGATGTAAGTCTTCCCCCCCTGCTCCTCCTCCCTTTTCTCAGTTTCTGTTCCCCTGAAAGACTGCCTTCTGAATCTCTGAATCTTTTCTGAGTCTTTTCCGAATTGATTTGGAGCCTCCAAATTGATTCGGAGTTTTTTTTCTTCTCCCAATTTGATTCGGATTTGGTGATTCGGCCTCCGAATCAGGCCAAATCTTCTCTGAATCGAATCACGAACCAAAGCTTTGCATACCCCTAATAACTGTCATACATTTTAACCAGGTTAAAAAAAAAAAAACACTTTGGAAAAACAGGGGGATATTTTGTGCAATTAACTCTAACTGCCTAGGAACATGTGGTACATGAATTTTTAGAAGTCTATTCCTGGCCTTATAGAGTTACTTGGAAGGTAAAATGTTCCATTTTAGTCTTATTTATACTGGTCTGTAAATGTCCTATCCCAGAACCTCCTCGGAACTCCATATCTTTTGAAATGCCTACATCGCTACAGCCCATGAGGTCTTAGTATGAAATCTAAACACAAAGGATTCACAAGAGGAAGACTCAGCTTGTGAGAATGTTTTGCAGCTGTTGATCCTTTGACTTTCAGCAACCTCTGCCACCTTCTTTTATTATATAGAATTTATATTTTCCTCAGTATAATATATTTTTGCTGACAATTCAAACATAGTACAAAAGAAACTGTATCTGATTTCACTTATGAACCTTTTGACCCTTAAGTACTAGTCTGGAATACAAATGACAGGAGATACTGCCTAATTATGAGATGAAAGTTTTTGTTACATACTGCCAATTAACAGCATTTGAATAGAAATATAGGGGAAAAAAGAATACAGTCCTTTAATGGGATGTTCATAATGCAGTTCTGTTACATTTGTTATAATAGGCAGTGGATTTGCTAGGCAATAACATCAAGTTTTAGTGACAAGGAGAGAAAATATTTAAAATGTTGTAAGTCCTCTAATGTTACTTGAAACTTATAAGATTTGTGTATAGACAAGTGAAATGCTGGTCACACAAATGAAACTTAAGAATATCATTTTTGCTCACATATAACACATATTTTTTTCCATAAAAGAGCTGTTAGAAATTGGGGTGTGCATTACAAGCAAGGATAAATACAGTAACAGCAATTTTTACTGCTTAGGTTTCTGGTAGATGAAAGGAAAAGTAACCACACCGCAATCCACAGGGAGCAAAACAACGTACAGCCTCAGATACTTAGCTGCTGCTACTTAGTTGCTTAGTACAAGGAAGGAACTTTTTTCCTTCATTCTGCCTCTCAAAAAACAAAGCTCTTATTTTATTCCAGGGCATACTGTATGAATAAAATGTGGTATGTGGCAGTTTTCACAACTTAGTTTGCACATTTCCTCAGAGAGACATCTGCTTGCAGAGTTTATGTACAATACCCTGTTTTTAAATGGTATGATACAGTGTGAGAATCTTAATATGCATTCAATAAAATGCAATTCAGAAGTTATCATTAGTAATAATAATTAATATAATATTTGCACAGCTCTGGTATTGTAACAGGTGCTTTCCACTTATTTCAGTGGGTCAGGATATCACTAAATTTGTGTGCCCCAGAAAGCTTACGTTCTAATGAGGGGAAATAGAAGTAAAAAAGAAGAAGAAAATGTAATAAAAATTAGAGGGGGGCAGGGTACAGTGGTACTGTTGCACATCCCCCTTTGATTCCTGGTCTACCCAAAGTTTAAAGCGAACTGCATGACAGTGGCATCAGCATTTCTGTTTAGGCAGCAGTGAGGGAGTCACTTGACTTCATGGATTATTATAATCTACCTGATTCGTGTTAAACTTTTAATTTCACAAGTGTTAATAATGACCCTTTCTCCTTTTTAATAGTCTTAATAGTCCACTAATTAAGCTTTTCTTTCTTTTGCAATTCAAGATGCTCAAGAAGACTTGATTTTATTTTATAAATTTGAAAAACATGTACATTTAATTCTAACGACTAGAGGACTAAAGAAACAACACCTCTTCAGTATTTTTGTTGTGCTTTTTTAATACAGAATGTATGAATACCAAATTAGTGCATATTCTAGTAAAGTTATATTTGTCTTTGCTTCAATCTTAAACTGAATAATATAGCCCTAGGTTGCTTGCATATTAGTAAAGCTTCCAATTTTGTTTTACCATATGTGCTGTGCTATGTGTGATAATACACCACACTATCTGCATAACCCCCCACTTTTCAAAATCCTAGTTCTGCCCATGCACCTAAGTAAATCTGGAATACTTTAATGCCACTTAAAGTATTCCTCTTATTAGCAATAAAACCGGTCTAAAAACTGGTTGTTGAGTGCTTATGGTGAGTAATTGTGTAAAATTAGCATAGCTCTATTGAAGTCAATGGAACTATGTTGATACTCACCATTTGAGGCTCTCACTATATTTAGAAGGATAGATCTTCACAGTCTGCTCCAGAAGGGGATCCTACAACACAACAAGTTTAATTTCAAAAGCTCACATCTACTGAGGCTTGCAGACATTCCACCGTACCACTGTTCAGCAGCTTTTTTTTATCACTTTAATTCTTTCAGGCGCTTCACGTTTTTATATCATGATCTGTACTTCTATTTATGAGTGAGATTCTGTTTCATCGGATTGGCCCTTGTCATCACAAAGTAATTTATGTACGTTAAAAGAAAAAGGTTGTTTTAAAAAAAAAAAAAGACTACTGATCCACAAGTGGAAATCCACTGATCACTAGTAACCTAAATTAGTTGCCACTGAAAAACTGTTGTTTGGTGGCATATATGACATGATGCAGTGATTTCAGCTCTGTCCCCAGTCCAGAGCTGACCATATCTCAGCGAATCATGAGCAAAATTAGCCACATTGTTCGAGTCTCACCACAAAGGTTAAACAGTGAATATACAAGAATGCTGAAATACAATCATCCTAGATTTGGTCCTGGCAATTTAGGGTTTATTTACATTGCCAGGCCAGTTTGGGGAGACTTGTCATGATGCTATCTATATCAAGGGGCAGAACATTTGCTTCCCTGAGATTGTCAGAAGAATTAAATACTTCTGCAGAATTTATAAATGGTCACTGGCATCTTAATAACAGACTGGTGTACATCACCTGTACCTGTTTGAGCTGTTAATTGTAGCACATATCTGCCTGAGTGAAATGGCAGGCTCCAATGGGAAGAGGATTCGAAATAAAGGTTTAGTAAAATATGATAGCAGATGGTACTGATTATGAGTACATACTCAAGAGGATAGGACACATAGTAGTTCTATGTTTATATTAATGAAATTGGAGTAGTGAGAACAACATATGCAGTGGTAGAGGATGGATAAATCAATGAAGCCAGATGATACTAAATATACAGACCATAGAAATGTATAGGATACACAGTTGCTCCTGGTTAAAAGGCGAATCAAAGATATTTTAAGTCTAAATAATAGTCAAGAAGAATAACAAGTTAACATACTGAGATTTAAAAAGGTGAAATCCACATCTGCATAAGCCCTAAGCAATAGATTTATAGAGAAGTGTAGGTGGTCTGGGGAGTAGAAATCCAGCTTTTCACATAAAAACAGATTATTACAGTTCAAAATAGACCCTCCCTACATCATTTCATTGTTTTCTGAGATAGAGCTGTATCAGTAATCATTTTTCCCAACAGCTGCTGGAGCCTATAGATCCACCAAAATATAAATCCAATGGTCTCTTTTCTTGTCAGCACAGAGATTACTTCTGGAACAGAAGTGAGATATCCCCCTTGTAAAGCAGCTACTTTGCCTACTACTCCTGTGTACAGTTTCCAAATCAGAATTTCAATACTACATAAGGTGTACAACCATTTTCTCATTTCAGCCTTAATGCATAATAGTGAATGACAAAAGTGCTTTGTATACAAGACACACAGAATGAAAAGGTAGAGGGAGGACTTCATTTTTGATAAAGTAAACAAAAAATAAAGTATTTGGAAACAAAATAGTGAAAGTTTAACTCTAAGTATTCTTAGAACTAGTGGAAACCAAGCAATTAAAGTAAAAAATAGTCCTTATTCCAACCACCCAAAGCCAAATCTTGTGATTAGAATAAAAAGACCTCAACTGCCTTTATCTTCATTTTTAAGAGACAGACAAATTTCCAAGTGTATTTTTTCCATCCAGTTCTAAACAACATAATACAATTTGTTTCTATTAAAATTAATCATTTGAAGTATATTGTCAGAAACCATATGAACCAAAATGAGGAGGATTTAGAATAGGAATGTAAAATTCCACTCAACAAAAGCAGAGCAAAAATATCTGGAACAAGACATTAAAAGAAGAAATTAAAAAGAAAGCAGAGCTACCTGGAGGAAATGAGGAAAATGGAGAATATTACTGTATTTTTATAGACAGCATCTTGAAGTTTATTCAAGTAGACTGTACTATGCTAAAGACTATGTTTGGGAATATTGTGAGAAACACATATTCTTTGTTTTCTGTGTCTGTGGGATAATGCCAGAGGATTATTACCTACCAAACATACATAAGGTACCAAACTACCATACTTACTTGAATATAAGATGATCATGAATATAAGACAACCCCCCAATAATTCCATACATGGAAAATTTATAAATTTGTTATAATTTCCAGGTATAGAATCTAATTATTAAAGGTTTGCCATAAATGTGGTCCCCTCCCTCTGCCACAGCAGGGAAAATAAATCTAGGGGGTCATCTAGCCCCCTTGCCCTTTGCCACCCTGCAAACTTCTTCCCCTAGCACTTCCTTCCCCCACCTTTACTGTCAGACCCTGCTCTGACTGAGCATATGGAAGTGAGGGAAAATTTGAAAACACTGACCTTGAAATAAACATAATTTACTATATAGACAAATTATTACAGGTACCCATAGACTGTTTTCATCCAGAATTGATTCATTTTACCCTATTTTTGAAACTGCAGGAAGTTTTAGCAAAGCTTCTTCATAAACATACTTTTAAGCAGCACTTTTGTATCTACTTATATATAGTGCAAACTAGAAGGGTCAGCATTTACAACATAGTTCATTGGGCCAAGTTCCAGCAATCAACAGCATTTCAAGCCATGGAGACCCCACAGCTCAGGACTGCTCAGTATATGTGTGTGTAATCCAGGTACCCCCAACAAAGGATCCATGTGGTAATTACCCCTCCCCCCCATACTCATGAGTGCAACCCAGTGTTCTTGTCACAAGTCCTGAGATCCTCCAAAAATCAATATGTAGATGAGGACAGAGCATCATGGTCTGGCTCCATTTAATGGAGGGTGGGACCATACTAGTTATATGTAACAGGCTGAGAGAAGTCGTGACAAAGGGATTCTGAGTGAACTGTTTGGGGCTCCATTTGGTGATGTTTGCCAGACATTTAAGACTGGTAAAGAAACAAGAAAATGGGAAAGAAAGACACAGGTCAGCTGTAGGAGTGAAGAGGAAAATTGAAACGTACTAAATGTAGTGGCTCATCATGACCTGAAAAAGAGTTGACACTGAGGGGCACTGAATGCAATGGGCACTATCACAGATCTTATTCAGATAGCTTGTACTAGCATATTGGGCAGGGGAAATACTGTGATTATTTCTTGGCCTCTTGAAGGCTCAGATCAAGTGTAGTGGCTTTGTAACCTGGCATGGGAAATACCATGTATCTGTGTCCAAGAAAACAGTTTTCCTGAACTGCCTTGTAGGAGAACTGCTCTTCTGGTATTGTTCAGTACCTGCCAAGGTGCAGCAGGTTTAAGCCCAGTTTATGGAAATAGGAGTCTCCTCCCTTGCTTGCTATGAGGGCCTTATGACTAAGGGCAAACAAAACTCAGGGGTATCCAAATCCCAAGCCTCCGGGCTTGGGCCTGCAAGTAGGATGCCCACCAAAGGTTTTGGAAACATCTGAAACCCCAGGTGCGGGTGGAGGATGTTTGCCAGTAGTAGGGCCACTTATGGTTGGCCCACTCTTGAATTTGGAATTAGTTTTGGCTAATTTGGCCCCAAATACAAATTTAAAAAAAAAAAAGGGGGGGGGGGGGGGAATTCTGTGACCACTAAGGCAGTTTTCCTAGTTGCTGGAGATAACTGCTTTTTCTGGCATGAGGTAGTACCCATGGAGGTAACATATAGTTAACCTCCAACTTGCCGCTTAAGTGGGAAGATCTTGGCTCTATGCCCACTTTATGAAAATGGGTGATTCCTCCCTAGCTTGCTCTTGTGGCCATATGGCTGAGGGCAAGCAAAACTCAGAGGCATCTGAACCCTAAGCCTCTGAGCTTGGGCCTGCATGTAGGATGCCTGCCAAATGATTTGGAAACATCTGAAGCCCCAAGCAGGAGTGGAGGATGTTTGCCGGTATTAGGGCCACTTATGGTTCTTGACTGACTCACAGATTTGGAATTGATTTGGCTAATTTGGCTTGGAACATGAAAAATTTTCATTAAAAAAGTGATGGATCTAGGGGATTGCAGTATTACTAGAGTGTGTTGAGGTACACAGAGGAGTATGGTAAGGTTTGGGTGCAAAGTTGAATAAAGCAAGGAGTACAGTGTTGGTAGTGGGTAATTAGGGGCATTTGAAGAGGTCTGGGTTGTGGATGGTGAGGGAAGAGATGAAGGTATTGGGGGGTGAGGATGGATGTCATGGGAAAGGCTATTAGAGCATGGGAGGAGGTGGGGGCATGAGTGAATCAGATATTAGGGTTGTGGAGCTTGGGGCCTGCATATAGGATTCCTGCCATGGATTTGGGAGTATCTGAAGCCCCAGGCTGAAGAGTTTGGGAGGAAGGATACTTGCTGGTGGTAGCACCACGTAGACTTGAATGATTGAACTCTATTTAGCTGATAGAATTTGGAACTGATTTGGCTGATTTGGCTCGAGACAAGAAATTAAAAAAAACATAGAGGTAGATTGCCATCAGTGTATTTGTCCTATATGGACCAAATGTTTTATAGTTATGCTCAGTGCTGGCTGCATTTCATCATCTTCATAGCTGGTTTCCATTACTGAGCACAGGTTGCTTTGGGCAGCAATTTAATGATAAACGGTGGATTTAATAGGTTTTGCGGTATGGAATACTAGGATATGGGGCTTTTTTCCCCATGCTGATTGGGGGTGTGGGATAGAAACCTCATCGTCTATTTGAGTAAATATGGTATATCTTTTAATGTCCTCATCAATGTAAAATCTGTTTCATATCATAGGGGGAATTTTTGCCTATATTGAAAGAAGCATATCAAGATATCTGGGTGATACAGTATAAATGGAAAAAAATGGAAAAGCATGATTGGGAGACATTTAGACACAATGAAGTATGCTTATTGTCATTTACTATGTGTATTGCATGTCTGATATGTGCAGAACCATGACTCACTGCCCAACACACCCCCTCAGGGCCAGGTCTGACATAGCAGACTTCCA